ATATAGACACCCTACTAAATATGGTAGGTGAGAAGCAAAAACGCAGCATTCTGCAACGGTGGCTTCTCGAGCAAGTAGCATATTCAACTAAGAGAAATCAAATGTCTGGTAGGGAAAATAAGACAGATGAAAATGCCATTCCCGAAGGAGAGGAGCAAATAATGTCTGATGGTTCTGAAAATGAAACTGATTCANTGATTCAGAGAGCGTTTGCTCTTGTTCCGCGTGTCAAAAAGAAGCAAACGCTCGCGGTACTGCAGGAAATCGCCCGAGTTCAGAAGAAAGTACAGCCGAGCACACATCTCACTACACTGAGGGATCTACCATTGGTCAAGAACCCGATCGAAATATTGTACCTCAAATTAGAGGTCGATCCCAAGGGTCATCAAAACCAAATCAAGCAGAATATGATCACAGTTGTCCTCCATTTAAAAGTGATCGCAGGTACCCGATTGCTCGTTACTGTGATAGTTCACAAACACGCCAAATGTCAGCTGAACTTGGAAGCAAACGGGCTATTCGTTCCAACAGTGAAGGGTCTCTGGAGTATGTGGAAGGTAGATGTGGTTTAATGGAGGAATATCCCGGACCAAGAAGACGATTGAGTCGATCTACTGGATGGAGGGCTACTAGAACTCATGTACCACCATTGTCCGTACAACCAGGTCCACCAACAGCGCCGTCAAGTTTGGCAACAACTTTAGCAAGGGTTGCACAGGATATAAACTCTGATCGAAATGCTTGGATTGCAAATCAACATGGTCGGTTTTTCAGTCCAGCTCGAACAGATACACGGGAAATGCCTCTGCATACAAGGGAAACTCCAACCGGGTTTCCACCTGAAAGCAATTTCTTACAAAACACAGGCCAATCGAGAAACAACAAACTGACTCCAAGTGGGAAGAATTATCCTGTCTTGCGAGATGGCAAACGGCCTACGAATCGATTTGCTCCGAACATTCCCAAACCACCTGGTTTGCAGCAAAATTATCGAACTGATGTCAGAAATCCGAAAATAAAACAAGCTATTGGCCAGCTTGGTTGTCCCGGAACCCAAATGAAAGTAGTAGAAGGTATTGGTTTTCAAAACCGATCGGGATCATTTTCCATGCCCAGACCGGGTAATGTGGTGGACAGAAATGAATTTGAAGTTGAACGAATTTTTGAGCTCAGTCAGTATGACGATTTGGTCAAAAGTTATCTGAATGTGGCTGATCGACGAATTAAAGCCGTAGCATTGAAAAATGGGTGTGACATTCGCATCGTAGGTCCAATAACAAAACCGGATCCAAGTGCAATAGGCATTTCAGGTCGTAGCAGAATCACTTTCAATTGCCACATTGCTGGTCCCAGTGAAGATCGCATTGGGAAATGTGTCAACTTTCTCAAAGAGACTTTTCCCAATTCCTTTCTTCGGACAAACTGGCGTGCGTGAACTCGTGTGGACACAAACTAGATAGAGTTTCAGTCGCGAAACCTGATTCTCAAACAATGAGCATGCCAATCCATTATCTTGTCACTCACCTGCCCTGAAATTTTCTTATACATCTCGCACTCTTAGTTCGACTATCCATCACTTTATATGCCCTTCAAATTGATTCATTGCAAACTCTCAGTTGCTAAGTCTTTATTAGCAAGCCCTTGCGCCCATTTATCTTCTCTTCTTATTACTCTTGATAAAACTTCTGGATGCCTTCGCATCACCTGCACTGCTTGCCTGCGGTTGTTTTCGCTGTCGATTATTCTTAGTGAAAGGTCTGTTCACTGAGACATTGGAACCCTTCAATATAAGGCTCTTACTTCCATCGTTATATTTATTGTCTGATCTTAACCAAGTGGTTATCAGGATATTCACCAGTAATAAACCACGGCATAAAAAGTCGACCGATTTGAAACATAAAGACCTGTTTAATCGAGTATTAAGAACGAAAAGAAGATAAATATTGCAAGATGTGTGTTTCGTTCAGTAGTTCTGATTATTCACTTGGAGTAACTTATATACAGAGCAATACATGGAAAGAGAGGTAAAAAGGAGGTTAAAATGTATTACTTGCGCTCTAAAATTGGATGGGCTGATAATTAATTCTCAGCAAGATCAGCATGATTTTCTCACAAACTGCGAATTTTACATTCATTCGCGTGATTGCATTTTCAATGACCGAGTCAGTTCAGTGTGATGACCTGCTACAAGGAGATGCTTTGCAACAGACGAATTTCTGCTTCTTGCCACACTTATATGTATATGATATATATATATATATATATATATATATATATATTAAACAGTAGAAACGGACGCTGGGTGACAGTAATTACCACATTTTTATATTAAAATCAGGACTAGGTGTCGAATTATACTTTTTGCTGGGCGTCGTGGTTTGTTGGGCACCTTTCATTCTGCCGAATCCGTGTTCGTCATTAGTCGCACAAATGTTATGTAAAGTTTGTTGATTTCGATGTACGGACGGCACTAGCTGGTCTTTCCGAGAGCCTTGAGGTCAGTCAATCTAGTCAATGACTTCATCTTTTCTATCCCAAGATGGCCGGAATGTAGGTCGTCAAGTACAGCTTTACACAACGTCGGTGGAATAACAACTCTGACATTCAAGCATATTAATCCATCAGGCGTAACTTAAAGGTCATCACGTCTAGCATGGTGATATTTAAATCGCTTCCAGGTCTGTGAATTCCAACCCTTCCGCAAAGCAGTCATCAAAACAGAGAAATAACGATGTATTGCGAATACGTTCTTCGCGGCTCACAGGGAGAGGTTGTAACAGTAATGAATCAGAAATGTCCTCTGAGTCACAAACGGGTAGCGGCTGACGCAAAATGTAATCCACGTGTCGGATGTATTTGGCACTGCGATGTTCAATTATGTAATCATATGCACCGAGTAAGATACTCCAACGCTGAACCACAGCCGCAGGATCGAAAATGAATTTCAAGGCCCCGTGATTGGTAACGATGGTGAAATGATGACCGAAAACGAACTTGTGGAGGCGCGTGATTGCCCACTATACGGCTAAGGCTTGGCGATGAGTTTGAGCATAGCCTCGTTCAGCTTCTGTCAACCGGCGAGACACAAATAGTTGGATGCGTGTTTTGTTCCAGAATCGCGCCGATTCCATCCGGTGATGCTTCAGTAATAACAGCGGAATGAATTTTGGGATTAAATGGGTGAAGTACAGCTTCAGTCTGCATACATTTAGCAATTCATGTAAGCAATGTTCATGAACATCAGTCCCAACAAATTTGTCAGAAGAAGAGAAAAGAAGCTTTCTGATTGAAATTAGAGATAAATCTATAGTAGTAATGTTCCAATCAATGACCTCAGTTCGTGTATGTTCGACGGCAATTTGGATTTTCTAAGAAGAAATAGACGGTTCGGGTCAGGTTTCTAGCCTTTACCATCAACTAAGTATCCAAGCCATTCAAAATGAGAGACAGAAAATAAACACTTCTTAGGATTAACAGCAACATTCTTATCAGAAAACCTACGAAAGAGTTCAAGCAATCGTGCGTCATGAGTGGACTTGTCAGGAGCGTAAACAATAATGCCATCTTGATATACTTCACCAGACACCAGACATACCGCTAGTAATGCCATTCATAACTAATTGGAATACGGCAGGATAAATGGATAAACCAAACGGCAAAAACTTGTATCTGTGTAAACCAAAGGGCTATTATTAGTTGTCAAGGTGGAGAAGGTTTCGTCTAACGCAATTTGTAGATAAGCATCTCTCAAGTTAATCTTCGAAAAGAAATTAAAACCAGTCAATTTATTCAGAAAGTCCTCTGGTTCAACTGGTGTACATGCCTGCTTTAAGTCTTGGATGTGAGGTGACTCGGTAGTTCCCACATATTCTGGAGGACTTATCATCCGATTTGACTGGTATGACGATTAGTGTACCCCATGCTGAAGACGGGTGATGATTGTGTATAAACTGAGCATTCTTGTTTCATTACATGATCGATTGCTTTGTACAACTTGGACGCTTAATATAATTCGACTTTGAATATTCTGGTGTTCTATTTCATGTTGCGTACTAGCTCGGTTGGAGTTTAACTGCGCGAATTATTGCGATTCGATTTCCGATACCAAGTAAAGATTATCACAATTGGCGTCGCGTCAGTTTTTATCTCATTATGGACACTTGCAACTTAAAACTTCTTGATATTCATTCGAATTGACGTTATGGAAGAATATTTGAAGCATTTTGAGATTTGGTGCCTCACCCGTAAGAGTTTGGACGTCGAGAAGAAGACGGTACTTTTACTTTCTGCTGTTGGAAATGAAGCTTATGCGCTGATTAAACATTTGGCATTAATAATGATAATAATAGTGTATAGTTCACGAAGCCCGTGAGGCATGCACAAAGCATGATCATATGTTCAAAGCAAGCATATGTACATTAAAAGTATAGGTATATAGAAGATCTAACTAGAAGCTATACACTTTGGAAATGGAGGGGGGGGAACAAAATTGCAGTGCGAATGGAATACAAAACGGACAAGGTCACTGACGAATATGTGGATGATGGAGGATGCACTGAATAAGCATGTCAGTGGAAATTGAAGTAACAGCGAACCTGGTGGTATCGAGAGGATTCGCGTGCGGCATTAATGGGGGAAAATACAGCGAGTCAGTCTGTGAAACAAATGACGAGTGAGGATGGAGACATGCGGATAGGAATGGATAGGAAGGAGTATTTCGTGACTCCATGGTTGCTGATATTCGTCAGAACCTGTCACTAATGTTTACTCACGTCCGTTTTGAATATTCGTCCCAAATGGAAACAGAACCAGAGATTGCGTTAATTGAAAACAATATATTCTGAGATCTTCAGAAAGGTTGGAAGTAGATTTAGCTAGACCTAGGCTGATATTTAAGCAACAGTAACGGAAACCTGAAAGTAGATCTGATCAGTGCAACGAAAGCGTGCGATACAGAGCTCACCGTGGGGAATTGTGTCGGTGCACGCTTTTCGAGTTCGTTAAAAGAACGCTAATTGTTAAAGCAAAACCTCATCCTGGAAATGTCCAAGTTGCTTTATCCAATAGAGAAACTTTCCTCAGAGGATAGCTATCGCCAACTAATGGCGATAAATGCTAAATTTTGACGGTACACTTGATTGTGTCCGGTGGGTAAGGGTCC